GATTCTAAGTGTGGTATTTGCATTTGGAATCTATTACTGTGAACCTACATCATGCGTTCAAAGGAGCTGTCCATGCAAGTGAAACAGGCCATTGTAAGGCTTCAAAAATGAAACAAATCCATCAGACATAGCAGCAACATTAGGAGTGGCCAAATCAACAGTTTGGTACATTCTAAGGAAAAAACGCACTTGCTATGACCTCAGCAACATAAAAAAGCATGGAAGACATCAGTGGTGGATGATTGTAGGATCCTCTCTATGGTAAAGAAAAACCCAGTCACAACATACAGGAAGTGAAGGACACTCTCCAGGAGATGGGTGTATCATTGTCAAAGTCTACAATCAAAAGAAGACTTCACGAGATCAAATAGAGATCAAATACAGAGGGTTCACCATAAAGGTGCAGACCATTTACAGTGAAGGAAATAAGTATTTGATCCCATGCTGATTTTGAAAGTTTGTCCACTCACAAAGAAATGATCAGTCTAAAAATCAAATGGTTGGTGTATTGTAAACACAGACAGAAGAGCAACAAAAAATTCAAAAGAAATGCATGTCTAACAAATTATACACCGATTTGCATGTTCATGAGGGAAATAAGTATTTGATCCCCTTCACAAAACATGACTTCGTACTTGGTGGCAAATCCCTTGTTGGCAATCACAGAGGTCAGACGTTTCTTGCAGTTGGCCACCAAGTTTGCACGCATCACAAGAGGGATTTTGGCCAACTCCTCTTGGCAGATCCTCTCCAAGTCCTTAAGGTTTGGTGGCTGACGTTTGGCAACTCGAACTTTCAGCTCCCTCCAGATTTTCAATCGGATTAAGGTCTGGAGACTGGCTAGACCACTCCAGGACCTTAATGTGCTTCTTCTTGAGCCACTCCTTTGTTGCCTTGGCCGTGTGTTTTGGGTCATTGTCATGTTGGAGCACCCATCCACGACCCATTTTCAATGCCCTGGCTGAGGGAAGAAGGTTGTCACCCAAGATTTGGCGGTACATCTCCCCGTTCATCGTCCTTTTTGATGCAGTGCAGTTGTCCTGTCCCCTTAGCAGAAAAACACTCCCAAAGAAGAATGTTTCCACCACCATGTTTGACAATTGGGATGGTGTTCTTGGGGTCATAGGCAGCATTCCTGCTTCTCCAAACACAGAGTTGAGTTGATGCCAAAGAGCCTGATTTTGGTCTCATCTGACCACAACACTTTCAACCAGTCCTCCTCTGCATCATTCAGACGTTCAATGGCAAACTTCAGACAGGGCTGGACATGTGCTTTCTTGAGAAGAGGGACCTTGCGGAACTGCAGGATTTCAATCCTTGTGGGCGTAGTGTGTAACCAATTGTTTTCTTGGTGACTGTGGTCCCAGCTGCCTGGAGATCATTCACAAGATCCTCACGAGTAGTTCTAGGATGATTCCTCACTCTTCTCATGATCATTGACACTCCATGAGATGAGATCTTGCATGGTGCATCAGACCTAGGGAGACTGACAGTTGTTTTGGGTTTCTTCCATTTGCGAATGATTGCACCAACTGTTGTCACCTTCTCACCAAGCTGCTTGGGGAGAGTTTTGAAGCCCAGTCCAGGCTTGTGTAGGTCTACAATCTTGTCCCAGACATCCTTGGACAGGTCTTTGCCATAGTGGAGAGTTTGGAATCTGATTGTTTGATAGCTCCTGTGGACAGGTGTGTTTTAGACAGGTAACAAAATGAGATTAGCAGCACTCCCTTTAAGAGACTGATTCTAATCTCAGCTTGTTACCTGTATGAAAGACCTGGTAGCCAGAAATCCCGCTGAATGATAGGGGATCAAATAATTATTTCCCTCATGAACATGCAAAATCAGTGCATAATTTGTTAGACATGCATATCTCGATTTTTTTTCTGCTATTCTGTCTCTGTACCAAATTAAAAAAGAAAAAAGCGCCATTTACAAAAAACACCAAAGTGTCAGCAGCATATCCCACCCAAAAAAAAATTTTGGCAACAATAATCCTAATTAAAAGGTATGCGCTAATAACAAACTTATACAAAGGTGAATATCATGCAAAAAAACATTTAGTGTTTTAAATAAATAATTATAGTGTCCAGAACATAAATTACCGCGGTGAGCGGTAACTGTATCTCACCTTTTTTTGCGGTGAGCGGTAATTGTATCTCACCTTTTTTTGCGATTGAAGCTGGTGTCTGTTGGACACCTTGTTTGTGAGTTTCCTTGTACCTTTTTTATTAAAGAGATAAATGGAAAAAAAAAACGTATTGCACCATTATGTTCTCTTTTTTGTCCCTGAGTGTACTGCATGCTCTCATGGAGGTATGAGAAAGTGGAGAAGTTCATCATAAGAGCTTGGGCTGCAAAGTTGTTTGTCTGTGATAATTATTATCCGGAAGTGTCTGAAACATCACCATATCTATTTGGACATCGGGTTCATTGCTCCCAGAGCACAAGCGCTGTTGCTGGTTTATAATCTGACCAGCCATTAGCTCTGGTGAGTTCATTTAATCTCCTTTGGTGGTGGATTTTTCACAATTGGTTCAAGTCACTGAAGATATATATATTTTTTGGACACTATAATTATTTAAAACACTAAATGTTTTTTTGGATGATGATATACACCTTTGTATAAGTTTGTTATTAGCGCATACCTTTTAATTAGGATTATTCTGTCTCTGTGTTACAATACAACTACCATTCGATTTTTAGACTGATCATTTCTTTGTGAGTGGGCAAACATTCAAAATCAGCAGGGGATCAAATACTTATTTCCTTCACTGTATAAGCATGAAGAATAGAAAAGCCAGATTAGACTTTGACAAAAAAACATCTAAAAAAGCCAGACCAGTTCTTGAAAAGCATTCTTTGGATGGATGAAACAAACATTAATCTGTACCAGATGACGGGAAGAAAAAAAAAAAAATGTGTGGAGAAGGCTTGGCACAGCTCATGATCCAAAAGCACACAGTCATCCGTAAAACATGGTGGAGGCAGTGTGATGGCATGGGCATGCATTGCTTCCAGTGGCACTGGGTCATTGGTGTTTATTGATGATGTAACAGAAGACAGAAGCAGCCGGATGAATTCTGCAGTGTTTGAGATATACTGTCAGCCCAGATTCAGCCAAACGCAGCAAAGTTGATTGGATGGCGCTTCACAGTACAGATGGACAATGATCCAAAACACACTGCAAAAGCAACCCAGGAGCTTTTGAAGGAAAAGTGAAATATTCTGCAATGGCCGAGTCAATCACCTGATCTCAACCCAATTGAGCATGCATCTCACTTGCTGAAGGCAAAACTAAAAAGGCAGAAAGACCCACAAAGAACTGAAGACAGCTGCAGTTAGAGCCTGGCAAAGCATCAGAAAGGAGGAAACCCAGTCTTTGGTAATGTCCATGGGTTCCAGACTTCAGGCAGTAAAGGATTCTCAACAAAATATTAAAAAAATTAACATTTTATTTATGATTATGTTCAAATGTCCAATTACTTTTGGTCCCTTGAAAAAGGGGGGATGGCTACTCTTAAGAGCTGTAATTCCTAAACCCTTCCTCCAATTCGAATGTACATACCCTCAACTTAAACCTGAGAGTGTGCATTGAGCCCATATCCATTATAACTATAGCTTGAATATGTTTTGGTTAATACCTGAAAAAAAACTAATATAGCAGCATATTGGGGAATTAGTATATACAGTTAGGCACATATATTTTGACACAGACACAATTTTAAACACCCCTTCATAACATGTACCAGAAGAGTAAATCAACCACTCCCAATACAATACAGCGCTCCACACAAAGGTGCAGATACTATAGTGACTAAATTTACCTTACTTGAATCTCAATATATCAAAAATTCCTTATATCAATTAATTTCCACAGCAAAACTGACAAAACAAAATATGCAAAGTCCAATTCAATTACCACACTTCTAAAATCAATCTGCCCAGTGTCAGTTTCACAGCTAATTGATACAGTAGTTGTTCAGCAGGTCAGAGCAGGATTTTATCCTGTTCACAACTGATGACGTGTGGTTTAGAAACCTTTCCCATAGAAGTCAATAGCCTGCAATCCGCACCAGAACCGGACTGCACTGCTCAGAAATCATACATGGCTCTTTCAACCCGCACTGAATACGCGCTGCCAGTGCACCGGACATATGTGGATAGGCACCATAGGAAGCAATGTTATTTCACATGTCATGTGGATTGGATGCGGTTCAAACTGCATCCAAACCACAAATATGTGAACAGGAACTGCACGGCTTATTTTGAGAAGACTGACATGAACACTTTTTGGGTGGATATCACATTGAAAAAAAAGAACTGTGCATTTATTAATCTTGTGTCTGGGCACTTATTGTGACATTGGGCAGATTTTAGAAATGTGGAGATTGAATTGGACTTCAAATATTTGTTTTGTCACTTTACTGTGGAAATTTGACAAAGAATTTATTTTGATATATCAATATTCAAGCAAGGTGAATTTAATCACTATAGAATCTGTGCACATTTGTGTGGCACGCTGTGTTGTATGGAGTGCTTGATTACTCTTTATTCTGGTAAATATCAAAACAAATGGTTAGGCTTTTTTCTTAGAATTGCCTTTTTTTTTTTTCTCCTAGGACACTTTCAGAAAACTGAGGCAGACTGGTTGAGAGGATATATTTTAGGCTGGCCTACAATTTTTTTGGCCAATGTCCAATTCTCCTGTAGGCATCAGTACGTCTGACAGTATCTGAATTCCTGAGTCTCCCAATGTGAAAATAAAACACCATACCTTTCAGATTAAGATTTAGGGGATTCTGAAATGTTCAGCAACAAGAGGCAGGGTTATATATAAAATTATAAAGCTGAATGTTTTAGCCAGGTCACAAATTCATGACAACCCTGCCCATCAATTTCTCCCGCATTTTCAGTGCCCTAAGCTATGCATTAAAGTACCAAAGAAACTTCAGAAAATACGGTTAGTAAACTACAGTAAATTTATATTTTAATACACATACCTCTTTGTCAGTGAAGTGTGATTTATCCTTTTCTTGCTCCGGTGTTAAATAGAGGACTTTCTCCTCTAAAGGAAAAAATAAACACCATCTTATATTCAAGAATACAAACATATTTTTGAGTACACTAGAGATGATTAGTAAGTGCAAAACCTACCTTCAGAACCATTACATCTCAAGACGTATCTCATAATATCCAAGTTTTCATAAACTATCAGAATTTCTACAGCTCCCATTTCCAAAGCTTTTAATGTGTCTTCAACACCGAAACAGTACTTGCCTGTGTCCTGACTAATTTCATCAAAGTATCTCCCTGTAAAAAGACACATTAAGGAGGGAAAACATACATTTATATGCAAAAAAACAGATAATGTACCAACAGAACTAGGAGAAAACTATAAAACAGAAGTAATGAAAACATTTGGTACCAAGGTATATACAGTAAATATATGTGGTTTTTTTTTTTACACACACACACACACACACACACACACACACACACACACACATTTTACCAATATTAGTGAAAGTGAACAATCACAAAATTTTGGGTTGTCCCCAGAAAAGTAATATAGGGGACATCTTTCCATGGGGACATTTCAATATGAAGAGATTTCCTCATGCTTCCTGTTTGGCTATGGGACAGGAAGTGAAATCTCTGCAATGGGACACGGATACAGCAATTTAAAAAAAACAAAAAACAAAAAAAACCACGTTCAGTATGCATTTTAGATCATGCTTTAAAATTATTTTGTACTATCATTACATTTGTTCAAACGTTAAGGGTTTCCTTTAATTATGCTATTAATTTATAGTGAAGACTTTGGCTGGGCTACATGTTCCACCTTTCTACATTTTAACAGCTACAGTGGGTATAGAAAGGAAAAAAAAAAAAAATTATCCCACATTTGAAAAAAAATTAAATAAATCACATTTTGTCGCTTTGCAGCCTGAAATGAAGACAGACACAGTTTTAGTTTGATCCAGCTGTATTCACAGCTGCAAGTTAGTGCAACTTGTAACATCCAAGTGAACGATCTAACAAAAAGGTTCAGAAACAGAGTCACTAAGGCTGGCCATACATTATACAATTATCTGCAGATTTTCTGCCCAATTTCCTTTAGATTTACCTTCAACTATGTAGTGCAAGGGCCTGCCTAATTGGATACAACTGAAAGTGTTGTTTAGGTTTGTCCTCCTATTATATGGTTTTTGGTAAATCTAAACCAAAAATCTGCAGATAATTGTATAATGTATGGCCAGCCTAAGTAGGAAAAAGGATCACTCCCCTCCAAAAAATTACTTGTAAACTCAATCAGGTGTAGCTAATCACCTTCTCAATTGCACACAAAGCCATTTGACTTTCAACTGTGATCATTTTGATTAGCTCAACATGAATAGAGCTTTCCTGGAGCAGTCCCTGATAGTGCAACTGAAGCAATCAACTATGGGTAGCAAGGCACTGTCAAACGATCACCAGGATAAAGCAAAGGCTTTATCAATGCCTACAAGTGAAGTCTATTATTAAGAAGTGGAAGGTATTTGGTAAAACACAGACCCTCCCTGGATAAGGACCGCGCTTTAAACTGGATGAAAGAGCCAGGAGGAAATTGGTCAGAGGCTACCAAGAGGTCTACAGCAACTCTGAAGTTGCAGGAATTTATGACAAAAAGACTGGTCACTGTGTGCATGTGACAATATCACACATTCTCCACAAATGTGGTTTGTATGGGAGGGTTGCAAGAAAAAAGCCAATCCTCAAGAAAGGCCACATTCAGTCATGACTGAGCTTTGCCAAAACCAACTTGAAGATTCTGAGGCCAGATGGAAAAAGGTGTTCAGGTCAGATGACACTAAAACTTAATTATTTGGCCTAAACACTATGGCCCTGATTTACTAAGACTTGAGTCTACCAGCATACTCTGAACATTCAGGCAGACTCAAGTAAATCAATCAAGACCTGTCAGTCTTCTGAGAGGCGTCTAGCAATCTCAATTGACGAACGTCTACTTTACTATTAGTAAATGTGTAATCGCGTCTGGCACATTTTTAGGTGCAATACCGGATATGTTTGCTAGATGGTGCACAAGCGCGGGCTTTGGCGGTTTCCTGTTTGCATAAGAGAATACTTAAGAATGTAACATAAAAACTACACCTATATTATAATTTTTTTTTTTTTTTTGCTGTTTCTCCAAAATGATCAGACAACAAATGCATTTACTAATGAATGTCATACATTCTATTTTCAAATGTTAAACATTTTCACACTTATATCTCAAATAATTTGGAACGTCTAGTTCTAAGTTCTCAATATAATGATATAGCTTCCTTCTCTTTAATCATGTAACTATTCTATGTTAAGATAATAATGCGCATGGGTTATACACATCACACATCTGGGGGTGCAGTGGTATGCTGGCAGCTATGGGTTAGTCATCCAGCTCCATCCATCCATCAGGGTGGGTGCCAAAATGGTAAGGGGAGGAATTAGCTCAGCCACAGGAGCCATAAAAGGTGCTTAATAGTGTAATACACACGTCCCAAGGGTGGTTTACCTTTCACGGGTTCATGCACTACTGTTCGTCATGGATAAACCACATGTGCCATTCATAGGCACTCTGAGTTGGTACTCTGACACGAAGGACATTCCATTATTCAGGAATGATTATATGAACTTTTTTTTACCAGTTTACATCATCATTAATGGGCAGCACAGTGGCTTAATGGTTAGCACATCCGCCTTGCAGTAAATGGGTCATGGGTTCGATTTCTGACCATGGCATCTCCTGCATGGAGTTTGCATGTTCTCCCTGTGCTTGCGTGGGTTTCCTCCGAGTACTCCAGTTTCCTCCCACACTCCAAAGACATGCTGGTAGGTGTATTGATTCCTGTCCAAATTGGCCCTAGTGTATGAAAGTGAGTTAGGGACCTTAGAGATTGTACACCCCTTGAGGGTCAGGGACAGATGTGAATGTACAATATATGTGTAAAGCACTGCATAAATTGACAGCACTGTAAAAGTACCTAAAATAAACAATTGCACTTTTTGGATTTTACATGCGTTGATTGATAACATGCATTTATAGCACTGCACTATTATTTTAACATATTTCTATTCTGGGACTGTTGCCAATACCCTGAGTGCTAGCTGCTACCTTCATATCTATACCTATATTTATCTTGTGTAATACCTTTTTAGTAGTCTATATAATTTGACCAGCGCTCGCTTAATCATTATTTTTAAACAATATAACTATTCTTCATTGCAGCTCAAACTCCGTCTCCTACAGTGGCTTAGTGGTTAGAACTCAGAACTTACAGCACGTGGGTCATGAGTTCTAATCCCAGTCATGGCTGCATCTCAGTTTGCATACTTTCTCTGCACCGATGTGTTTCTGCCAACACTCCAAAGACATGCTGTTAGGTTAATTGGGCCCAGTATATGTAAAAAAAACAAAACATCGGTCAATCGGCCGACGTTCCCACCAACAGCAAAAAAAATTGTCTGATTTTCGTCCCGTCTACGGCCAGCATTTTTACTTCTGTCCCTTGCAGAGAACACTGCTATTATATTTTACATGAAAAGTATTGAGGTTGCAACATTGTATCCATTTCAGATACAGATGGTTTTATTCGGATACAAATAGATACATTTGTTGCAACCGCAAGACTTTTCATGTAAAATATAATAGCGGACTGGAATTCTTCTTCCCAACTTCACCAATAGAAAAAAAAAAAAATGTGCCAAAACCCCGATTAAACGGCCGACCAATTTACCCACTAACTGTGCAAAAATTGGCTGATTTTTTACCCATCTATGACCTGCATTAGATTGTAAGCTCCTTGACATTTGTGAATGCCCAAAATATGGAGATCAATTTCCAGGGTTCTGTTAGTGCCAGGAATATAGATCAATTAAGATTTTGGCTACTGACTAGAAAGTGGAAAGGGATTGAATCTTACCTGCGTCCTGTTCTTCTGACAAGTTTGAATTTTTCAATTTTCCTTCTGTTTATATTTCATTACAACTTTATTTTCTCTAAGGCTGCGTTCACACTAGCTTTGTCAGCAGGCATCAGACAGGCATTTGGGAAGCGTTTTTTACGCTTCTCAAACGCCTATTGAAAATTCTGCACATGGCAGCACGCAGTGCTGTTCACACTGAAGCGTTAGAATTGCATCACTGCAAAACTGGCGCCTCACGTCGAGTCAGGAGGAGTTGAAGCCTCCCATTCAAGTCTATGGTGCCGCTCCTCAAATGCCTGGCAGATGTTTGCGGTGTGGTTGCGAGGCATTTTTGGAGCGTCAATACCATTTAACTTCATTACAGGCATTTGTGGTGCAGTTTTAACGCTTGGTAAATGCTTATCACAGGTCTCAAAACCGCACATAGGGCGTTTGGGGAGCATTTGAGGAGCGTAAAAAACGCTTCCCAAACACCTGTCAAATGCTATAGGGGCTTTGGCAAGAGTTAGAAATAAAGTGTGAAAGAGCTCTTAAACCTCTCTCCTTATACAACTTGACCCCCTCCCCCACCCCCCGTCATCACCTGTTCCATCTGCCAATCTATGTATCCCCGCCTCACTCTTTTTATTTAACTATTCATTTATTGATCTTGTTAATGTGTCTCATTTCCTATCACCTGCAGCTCAGATCTCGCATTATTATACGATTCATGATTGTATCTCACCACTAGTCTGATTGAATTCACAATTCCTGGTCAGTCCCGTTCACTGATCTATAATAACCTTTTAGGGCCAGTTCACACTATATGTGTTTCAGTTGCTTTTTTTGCATCCAAAACGCACAGAAAGAAGGTTATATGGTTGTCAATGTCATAGTTCACATCAGTGCTTGCAGTTCCAGTGTGTTGCAGGTGCTGCCAAAAAGGTCAAACAGGCTGCATTGTTTATGCATAGAACTGTACTGGACCGCGGTAAAACGCCCTGGAATGCACATGTCCCTAATTAAATTTTAGAAAAAGAGGGGCAAAAAAATTAACTAGAATGCATAAAAAAAAGGCACTGGAACACGTCAAAAAGGCACCCAAACTGCACTGAAACACACCAAAAATACATCCAAAATGCACTGGAACACATCAAAAATGCATCCAAAATGCTCTGGAACACGCTAAACATGCATCAAAAAAGTGCATGCAAAAACACATCTAGACTGTTTCTATAGTGTGAACTGGCCCTTAGGACTTGTTCACACCATTTGTGGTGCAGAAATGCATGCAAGAGCACGCATTATCCAGCAAAGCAAAGAAATGCAATGCCCTCTGCAGATGTGCGCAGGTACCATGATGAAAAC